CTAAATGTAAGGCCAGAAACTATCAAACTCTTAGAGGAAAACATAGGCAGAACACTCTATGACATAAATCACAGCAAGATCCTTTTTGACCCACCTCCTCAAGAAATGGAAATAAAAACAAATAAATGGGACCTAATGAAACTTCAAAGCCTTTGCACAGCAAAGGAAACCATAAACAAGACCAAAAGACAACCCTCAGAATGGGATAAAATATTTGCAAATGAAGCAACTGACAAAGGATTAATTTCCAAATTTACAAGCAGCTCATGCAGCTCAATAACAAATAAACAAACAACCCAATCCAAAAATAGGCAGAAGACCTAAATAGACATTTCTCCAAAGAAGATATACAGATTGCCAACAAACACATGAAAGAATGCTCAACATCATTAATCATTAGAGAAATGCAAATCAAAGCTACAATGAGATATCATCTCACACCAGTCAGAATGGCCATCATCAAAAAATCTAGAAACAGTAAATGCTGGATAGGGTGTGGAGAAAAGGGAACCCTCCTGCACTGCTGGTGGCAATGTGAATTGGTACAGCCACTATGGAGGACAGTATGGAGGTTCCTTAAAAGACTACAAATAGAACTACCATATGACCCAGCAATCCCACTACTGGGCATATACCCTGATAAAACTATAATTCAAAAAGAGTCATTTACCAAAATGTTCATTGCAGCTCTATTTACAATAGCCAGGAGATGGAAGCAACCTAAGTGTCCATCATCAGATGAATGGATAAAGAAGACGTGGCACATATATACAATGGAATATTACTCAGCCAAAAAAGAAACGAAATTGAGTTATTTGTAGTGAGGTGGATGGACCTAGAGTCTGTCATACAGAGTGAAGTAAGTCAGGAAGAGAAAGACAAATACCATATGCTAACACATGTATATGGAATCTAAGAAAAAAATGTCATGAAGAACCTAGGGGTAAGACGGGAATAAAGACGCAGACCTACTAGAGAATGGACTTGAGGATATGGGGAGGGGGAAGGGTAAGCTGTGACAAAGTGAGAGAGTGGCATGGACATATATACACTACCAAACGTAAAATAGATAGCTAGTGGGAAGCAGCCGCATAGCACAGGGAGATCAGCTCGGTGCTTTGTGACCACCTAGAGGGGTGGCATAGGGAGGGTGGGAGGGAGGGAGACGCAAGAAGGAAGAGATATGGGAACATATGTATATGTATAACTGATTCACTTTGTTATGAAGCAGAAACTAACATACCATTGTAAAGCTATTATACTCCAATAAAAAAGTTGCAATTCTTTTCGGCTGTTTTATGTTGAAATTTCCCGCCTCAAATGGTTAAACCTGTGACCTTTTGCCTCATATGGGAGAATTACCTCCATTCCCTGCTTAGCACATCAGACGGAAAGTTACATGGTGTGCTTTCTGTTTCATTCACCCCTAGCTTTACTATCCTTGATGGTTGCTGAAGTATCATTTAAAAATCATGTTGTCTCTTGCGTTCCTGACAAATTTTGTTTTTCTCAGCTTTTCCAATTCCAAATTCTCCTATAGTTTAGCAAAACAAATTACCTTTGGAATCATATATACCTTTTTAGTCCACTGTATATGCAGGAGAACAGATAAGCAGATTTGACTATACTCGTTGAGTTTCTCCAAGCATAGCACTTCTCTTAACTCTTTCATCCTTTTGATATCTAAGTGTCAGGGGTCTCTTTCCATTTTGATTATGGAATTTCACCCTCCCTCTCCTTCCCTCCCATCTCCTACAACCATCATTTCTTCACTTTTACCATAGTTCCAATATCTCATTTACACTTAACACAAGTCCACTCCTTATACTCTCCCTTCAAATATCCCTACCTAGGCTAATCCTGAGTAGTGAACTACCACTTAAGCAGTAATAGCACAATACTTCCCTCTAGAGATTGACTTAGTGGAACTTTACAGATAATATAAGATATTTGAAACATTTTTAGTATTGCCTATGGCTTTTTTGCTTTTTGAAAGAGAAGAACTGATGCAGAATATTGATTTGATCTTAAGTCTAAGGTATTTTGCTCTGATAAATGACATGACATTATTTATTAATGCCCAAGAAAAGACATACCAGAAGGCTATTATAAAATACTTTAAGGTTCTATCTTTAATTATAATTTCTGGCTAGTAGATAAAGTTCTCTCTGCTATAAAATACTAGATTTTGTTGCTCACTGATAGTGCTGCAACTTACTTTTAAAGTTCCTAAATAATCAAGCTTTTGAGTACAACAAATTTTTTTCCATTTTAATAATGCAACCTCCTTGATAATGATGGTGGTTTGATCAGTGCCTTCCACAGATCTAATTTCTTCCTCCCTCATACATCCTAAATGCTTTGTTTTTACTGCTATACTGTTAATAAAATGCTCACCCTAAATTCAAGTGTGGCTATATCTGTTTCCTGTCTCATCAGCTAACTGTGATGCAGCTAGTGTAGCAGAAAGAGCAGTGAAGCTAACATTAGAATACCTGGATTACAGTATTTGTTTTATTACTTAGCAGCTGTGTGAATTTATTGTCTTAATGATCCCTGAATTATGGCATGGATTTTTGTGCTGCTGCCAAGTATGAAATAGTTTGAGACATGGATTGGAAACTCAAAATATGTGATCTCTGTAACATTTTAGTGGGTGTGGGGAAGATAGAATATTTGAAATGGAAAATCTTGGACAAAAGGTCACCAGAGACCTTAATAAATTACTTAAACTTCCCGAGACTGCTTTGCTATCTATAAAATAGATAATGATGATGCTTACCTCACAGGATTGTTTAAGGGTTAACTGAAATATTGTATGTGAAAGAGTCTAGCCCAGTGTCTGGAAAATGGATGATGTTAATTAATGTTTCCTAGGGTTGGAGTCCTCCCTCCACTTCCCTCCTCCCCCGCCCCCGAAAACTCCAAAATTCAAACATCTTTCAAGATGCCCAAAAGGCACCACTCTACGAAGCCCTTCCAAACAACTTCAGGCAGTATAGCCCTTTGGTTAAGAGTGCTGGGCTTCTGGAATTAGAAAAGACCACCCAAGTTTAAAACCAGGTCTGCCATTTAGTAACTTCATGACCTTGGGCAAGTTATTTACCCTTTCTGCATCTAGGTTTCCCACCGGTAAAATGAGATCATCATGGTACATATCTCATAGGGTTGTGAAGTATTAAATGAGATATGCACATAGAGCACTTAGCACAGTCCCTGACACTTAGTAAGTCCTCCATAAGTATTGCATAGTAGAAGTAGTAGAAAGTTTCCTCTTCAGTAAAATGTTAATAAAAATGCCTCCCAGGGTGTGGCAAAGTTCTGCTGTAAAAGTCTTTTAAACTGTAATGCTGAACAAACGTAAGGGATTGGTGTATACCTTAAGATATATGGGGCAAAGTTCTAACCTCACTTTTATAGAATATCCCTTCCCTGCACTGGAGGGAAGGGGGTAATAATACCCATTATTAATTAATAGGAAATAAAACCAGAAGATACGTCCGCGGGAAACAAGCAGCAGAAGCCCAAACAGCAGTATTAAGAGCAGCACCCGCATACCGTACCTCGACAATTCCCAGTAGTTCACCTCTAACGCCCCCCTTCCCTTGGAGCCGCGCAAGCGTACACTGATTTTGCTCCTCTCTCCCTCATGCCCCCGCCTCCAACACCCCCCCCCCCCCCCCACCCCCCGGTCTACCCCACCACGCAGGCGCATCTCCTTAAATCCTGTCCCTACCCCCCTCATCTTTCTCTGCATTTCGTTCCCCCTCCTCTTCCAGCACCTCAGCAGGTTCAAACTCTTCTGCGTGAGGGTGGCGGTGATCGAAAGGTCACGTGATGAGCATCCTGCTGCCCAACATGGCGGAGTTCGACACGATCTCGGAACTGGAGGAGGAGGAAGAAGAAGCGGCAACGTCGTCGTCGTCGCCGTCGTCGTCGTCGTCGGTATCGGGGCCCGACGATGACGAGGAAGATGAGGAGGAGGAGGAAGAAGAGGAGGAGGAGGAAGAAGAAGAGGAGCAGGTGGAGGATACGCCGCCCCCGCCTCGGGTAGTGAGCGAAGAGCATCTGCGGAGATATGCCCCCGACCCTGTATTGGTGCGGGGCGCCGGCCACATCACTGTGTAAGCGAGAGGGAGCCATGGGGTTTGAAAAGGCTGAGATTTGGCGACAGAGGAATAAGGCAATCGAGGGGCCTGTGGAGTGGGGGAGGGCTGACTGAGGCATATAGTTAGGAAAGGACACCTGGTCTAAATGGGGAAACTGAGGGAGACAAGTGTAAAGGAAGTGAGGAGAAAGCAAATGTGATGCACCAACACCGGGTAAAAAGTGAGTATAGGACAGGGAAGTTAGGGGGTTGGGAGCCAGAGGGATTGGAGTAGGGGTGAGTCTCCTTGCTTCTGTGTATGCTGGCGATGAACAGTCTTTAAACTGCAGGATGTACCAGCGGACTCTTTGCCGCCAAGATTGATGTCTGGTGGAACATGGTGACAGCTGTAACAAGTGACGAGACCTAGGCTTGGACTCTTCAAAACAGAAACATAATATATTTTGTGAATAACATTATAGAATATCCACCCATCCATGTATTCATCCATCCTTTCTTCCTATCTAATCCCTTTGTAAATGAATTCAATAATCCTTTCCGTGTCTTGATCACTCCTCATTCTGACGTTTCTTAAATATCACACAATTAGAGGTTCAGGTTGAGAAGTAGCTATGAAACGTAGAAAGAGCAATGGATTGAGAGTGAGGGCTCTTGTATGTTAGTCCCAGCCCTGCTTCTTACTGGCCCTGTGACCTTGGTCAGGTTACTTCCCATTTCTGGGCCTTGATTTCTCCATTGGTAAAATGAGGGGTTTGGAGTAGATGGTTTTTAAAGCCTTTCAGCTCTGAAATAATTTAACATACCTGCAGGAGATTTTGTATTCCCAAGTATTAAATATGCAAACATTAAATATATATGGAAATTAGTCCCCTAGGAGCTGAGAATGATTTTTTGAAAACTCATACGGAGTTTTTTTTTAAATTGACATCTTGGATCATATTTGAGAAAATAAAAAGGGGGAGGGACCTCATAGAGTAGTAGTTGTCAAAGCACAAGAAAAATTTAATGGTTCTCTGGTCTTTGAAGAGTGCTTTCTCGTTTTTATGTGCTTGGACAGTAAATACTTGGAAGTTTGAATATTGTGTCATGTTCATCCTCTTAATTATGCTATCATTTACTGAGTTTTCAAAATAGGACTATTTTTTCCTATCAAGTCATGCTGCCTGTAATTTTGATAATGGCTCACCTACCCCTCTTTCAGTTGAGTTCATATTATCTGAAATCATATATTATGCACCACTTCCCCCCGTCATGTTAGCTTTTAATTTTAACATGCTGAGTATTTTAATTGTAATATACTTTTGTGATCTTTGCATGAAAAGTATTAAGGAAGATTTCGAAATTGTGGAAGAGTGTGGGGAGATTTTTAGACCTGCCTTTTGGTTAGGCAATTTTAACACAATTTTTCTTGGTCCAAGAATTTTGCAGATAGCCTACAATGTTCAGATGCCAGCTTACTGCGCTGTTTTATTTCCATTCCTTTCATCACTAGGGAAACAATTTATTACTCAAATTAATTATGATTCTGGTACCAAAGGTTACTTTCATGCAGATTATTTCATATGATCAAACAGAAAAAGGCTTTTTATTCCAGTCTATAATTTTATATTCCAGCATTCCTCCCCTTCATTTTTTTCCTAAAATTCAGAAAACAAGGAACAGGGAAGAAAACAGAGTTTAGGTTCCCTGAAACTTATTTGTGGTTCCATTCTACTCCTCACACAACCATGAAGTACTTAACAACCTATTTTCAATTAAAAGCAAAGCACTGACACTTGCCATGCCCAGGCCCTTATGATAGGTGTAATGATCTTCTCAGCTTAAAAATTCTGGAATAAGGAGTGTGAAATAATGGTGCTCATAGTAACTGCTGGTATTAATTGAAGCCAAAACCTGAAAAGCAGCAAACCAGTACTTGAATTGCTAACCAGCGTACATAGTTTGGAAAATTACTTAGTTGTATTGTACACATTCTCTGACCTAGAAAGCGTGTTTGATGTTAAATGAGAAACTGGTCTTTCTATGATAGGAAAACCTTCCTTACAACAGGTAAAGTAAGATCCTTAGGAAATAGTTAATCTAATTCTGAGACGTCTAAAATATCAGCCTCTTTAATTTTTTTCTGGCATGGGAGTGTTAGTTGCCCTATCTGAATGAAATATTTCTCATTCTCTCCCATTCTTATTTTTTTCATTCTTCGTGTAGTCATCTGTTCTTTAGAGGATGTTGTTTCTTTTCAAAGTTTAAAATTTGAGAACCATCACCTCAAATTCAGTATATCTTAAACCCAATTTATTTTCCCTCCCCAGATTGTCTGTGCATTCCAGTTTCCCCATTTCTGACCCTGATACTGCCATTCCAATCTTCCAGGGTAATATTTCAAGTCCTTGAGTCATTTTTAACTCTTCCTTCTCCTTGAATTGCCCTTTGCCAGTCTGTCCCAGAATTATGTCATCATGCCTTTTAAAAGGTCTATTAGATCATTCATTTTCTCCATTTCTACTGGCACCTCTCTAGTTTGGGTTGCCATCATCTCCTGCTTGAATTGCGGCCACAGTCTGCCACCTCTCCCCACCCCAGTCCATCTGCATGCTTGTGCCAAACTAATTTTCGTAAAACACGGTTTAATCATGTCACTTTCCTGCTGAAACACCTGCACTGTATCTTAATTAGGTTTGAATTCCTGTGCTCTCTTCCTCTACCCTCAGAGATCATGGAGTCCCTCTGCTTGTTCAAAACTCACCCCTCCATTTATGCTTTCCATATCCTTCTCTTCCAGCCTCCTCCCAGGCAGCACCTCTCTATATATTACCTCACTCAGCCTCTCTGTTGGCTCAGCCTGTAAACATATTCAGTCTCTCTAATTCTTTAAAAATAAAAGCCTTCCTAGACCTACATTCCCCATTAGCTATTGTCTAATCTCTCTTCCTTCTTTCTCCAAATTTCTTAAGAGTAGCTACATTCACCATATCTATTTCCTCTTCACCCTTCTGTAATCTGGATTCTGCCACCATGACCACAGACAAACTGGTATCATTAAGATCACCATGACCCTCCTGTTGCTAAATTAGTGGGCATTTTCAATTTCCTATCTTTCTGGTCCTCTCTGCGGCATATAATGACTCCCTCTTTCTCAGAAGCTTTTACTCCAGGGGTCATAAACACACTGGCCTTCAGAGGCGAGACAGGTTACAGAAAATAGTGCAGCATGAGTAATGATGGGGCCTTAGTTGAACTGGAAGGTATATGTTTTGCCTAAAGGTATTCAAATTCTGATTTAAAAAAAAACATTTTGCCAGCCAAACAAATCTAGGAATTCCTTGGCCATTTCACTCTTCCTGGTTCTCCTTATATTTTTCTGGTTATTCCTTAACTGCCTCATTCATGGGTTTCTTTTCCTTTCTTGCTCCTTAAATACTAGTGATCTCCAGGGTTTTGTTTTCAGCCCACTATTCTCATTCCCTGCTCTATCTAGATGGTCTCATCTTGACTCTCATGGTTTCAATTATCTGATGTCTCCCAAATATGTATCAGTATCTCTATACCAGACTCTGTTCTGACTCTTATCTGGACTTCCTCACCTAATGGCTCACTGACATCTTAAATTCAACGTACTCAAAACAAAACTCATCCTCCCCCTCTCGCATCCCCTCACACCCCCATCCCAACCCCTCAAAAAATTCCTCCTATTTCTGAGTTCTCCAACTCAGTTAAATGGACCTCCTCCTATCCCATTATTCATCAGTGGTTCCTCTTTCCCACTCAGTTTTCTCACAGCTAAGCAATCAGTGGGTATTAGTAATGTATGACCTAAAAATTTCTTCTTTTCCTCCCTACCACCACTTCCCTGATTCAAGCCCCTTTCACCACCCTACTAGTTATCTTGCCTTCATCCTTGTCACCTCCAAATCTATTCCTCAGCCTGCTGCTCAATGGAGACACCACTTTCCTGTTTAAGACTTCTGTGGTTTCCCCTTCATCCATAGGATCGAGTCTAAGCTCTATAACATGGAATATAGAACTGGACCCTGCCTATCTATCAGCCTAATCTTTTGACATTTCCCTTTACTGCTTGTATTTTCTTATTCACAGCATGCTGTTTATCTCTTTGCCTCTGCTCAAGCTGGGGCCTTCATCTAGAATCCCAGTACCTACCACCCTTACCTCATAAGTCACCACCTCCTGCAAGTCTTCTCTGCCCTGAATAAATTGGAAGCAGAAATGGCAGGACAATCACTGGTTCCCTCTGAATTCTCAGTGCTTAACACAGTGCCTGCCCTGAAGTAGACACTCAGTAAAAGTGAGTTGAATAAATACTGGTTCACTTTAGTAAAAATATGCCCACCATAGTGTGTGCTGTATTATAGGCCCTCAACAAATGCTAGTTAGTTGAATCATCCTCTGGAGAGTATTTGTGTTTCTGAGCATAGATACAATACTACCAGATTTGGGGTGGGGGTTATGGCATGTCCTTACCTCTGAAAGGTTTGTTGAGCAAGACTTTATGTGTCAGAATACCCCTGTGTGCTTATATCATCTTTACACATTGGTTTTCTCGTTACTTATCAAGATATCATTTAATGTCTTATCAATCAATTATAATTTTTTGAGAAGTCGAATGACCTAACCAGAATAATTGTAATTCCAAATCTGAGATGATGATGATCATAAATGGGTATTTGGGTATCTTTTTTCAAATTAAAAATTTTTTAAAGTGTCATTAAGGCAGATATATTTGATGTGTTACTCATTGCTGTATATATACCCAGCACAAAGAACAGTAACTGCCATCTTCTGTGTGTCAGTATGCCAGTATGATGGGCACTACCATTTAAATATTGTATAACACACCTAAAATATTTTATTAAAAGATACAAGAATGCCTTTAATATATATATAAATGGCTAAATTAACTCCCACAGATTTGAGGTTTTACAAACAGAAATAATGAAATGTCTCTTGTAAGTATTGTTTCAGAAATACTATACATTTGAGTGATGTAGCTTAGTGTCTATC